GGGGGGGGGGGGGGGGGGGGGAGTTGAAGCGGGAACTTGCAAGGAGAGTACAGGAAATACCAAGAATTGAGAAAGAAAAAAAAAATCTTTCAAACAGAAAACATAGAGGTTTAAGTTGTATATAACATGAGAAAAAACTTCTAAAACATAGAGCAGCAGCAACTCATCCAGGCATATACAACTTCCATAGTTCCAAAGCAATGTTGTTAATGGAAGATATTGCAAAATTGTGAAAAGCAAAAAATCTGCTAAAGCATGTAGTGGATACAATTGCGGACAAATGAAGTCTAAAACCTTAAACACTTGGCATAAAATACTATAACACTGATTCAAGTATGTCCTGGAAATTACAAGGGGCACAAGATTTTAGGTTACATGATGTTAACCAACTTCATTAGTGGGACCTTGTCCATCAATATAGTGGGGATGTTTATGGTGTTTCATAAGTAAATGTTATAGTATTAAACATATATTCAGATGTTTCATAAAGAAACTTATTGTTCTTGATGCAAATGCCAACCCAAGACCCAAGACAGTACCATACAACCTTTTAATTTCTTGTGGAAAAGACTAAAGAGTATGATCATGGTGATGCAATATATGTTTAATATCGTCTCTATTCTATAACATATATCAACATTTTAAAATACATGACCCCTAAACTTAATTATTCAGAAGCCACCATTGATAGAGAACCACTTTTGCAACATTAGACAGTTACCACACAGGAATCACCATTGCCAATGCATGCACAAGGCAACTATTGACCACAGATAAAAGTATATCTCCTAAAACAATTAACAAAATACAATAACTACAAGCATTCCACTCTAAACCTTTTAGTGAAATATGATGCAATGCTTTCCAAAATGATAACTGTATAAGAGCTTATTTGGATACAAGTTAAAAGCACTTGTAAGAACTTCTCTACTGAAAATAAAGAGTATTTTCCAATAGAGAAACTCTCAAAAGCGCTTTTAATATTGTATCCAAATAGGCTATAAAGCATGCTACAATTTGAATATGGTTGTGCATAAGCCCGTAGAAAGAGAAACATACCAAGTGTCTGGTTTTCTCTCCTCCTGTAAGCATCAGGATAGATCTTAAGAAGCAAAAAGTGAAGCATTTGACAGATAGTTGGAAAGTGATAGTACGGATGCCTACAAATTGGGCAATGGGACTCATGCAAACCACTCATTGATTTGTGGACACACCAGAAACAGGATATGTGACCACAAGCTACAAACAGGGAAGAAGAAAAAAAGAAACAAAAAAAATTAAAATCTATCAGTTTAGTAAAATAATTGTGTGCGGTTTAAAAATAAATAAGTTGATGCTGCCTTACATAGCACAATAGGCTTGTATAATAGATCCCTGCATTATAAACGTAAAGTAAAATTTAACAAGGATAATTTGATAAAGTTAATAATGTAGGTCATAAACCAACTTAAATGTGTGTAAATATGCAAGTGTAAACATTTCAAGGTTCATAAACATTTCAAGATTCAAGGAATGATTTTAGAGGGCAGCAGAAACCTATACAGGTTTATTCTGGAAAGAAAACGGGAAAGGGGCATATTGTAAACGATAGCGAACTGGACCAAGAGTGTTAGTTAAATCTATTTTTGTGTTGTAAATCCTTTAAATAAGACCTCTATTGTTTAGTTGAGGGAGTTGTTTGTAAAATTTGTATAAACCAGAAGTTTCGGTGTGAAAAGGAGAGTGCTCCTTTTGGGGGTATACTTGTATACCTTGGTTCTTGTAAGAATTTTTTTCATAATCAATACAAAAGTTATTCACTTGTTCAATCTTATTGTGTGAGTGTGCTGTTCGTTGTTAGGATTATGTTCTTCTTTTCCTTTCTCAAGAAGAGATTCCTAAACACAACTAGTGTCATAGAAGGGAAACCAAGCCATAAAACCAAATAACTCAATCGAAGATATGCATACTTAAGCTAAACGCTCAACTGCACTATCAATCCGCAACATGCAAATTCAAGTCAAATCTTAGTTTTGAAATAAAATTTTAAATGAATGAATTATTACCAAGACATGACAAAACTCAAGCTGAACTTAGTTCTTCTTCCTTTCCAATTAGTCGAAATTCTTAGCACCAACTCAACATAAACACGGGTGGGAAAAAGAAAAAAAGAAAAAAAAATGAAAATTGACTTTAACCTACATCTTAAGTTGTTTTTCACCCCTTTTTTTGAATTTCATGGAAACAACAAAAAGGCATGAAAAATATATAATTATACAGAAGGGAATCAGCCTTACAGACAAACACAGCAATCAAAGGGTTCGAAGGTTTGTTGCTGTTCGTTTTCATCTTCGAATGCGTCATTCTTCATTCTCGACAACAGAGAAAGGAAGCGTATAGTAATTGGTGTGATCCAGTCAGGATTCAATGGAATAATGTTGATCCCTAATAACTAGCAAGCAACTACTTAACTATTTATTTCATCAATATTCTATAGAAAAGATAAATATAATTTTTATTTTATATGATTAAATATATTTTTAGTGATTAAATTTTATCAATTTTTTTAATTCCTGAATAAACTTTTTTTTACTAAATTTTGGTCTTTAATTTTTTTATTTTCATTTTTAATCTTTAAACTTTTCCTTTATATAATATTTTTGTCTCTCTTTTAAAAATTTTGTTCGTAGAGAAAAATTCTTTAAAGATTAAAATCAAATAAAATTTTCTCGGGTTAAACACAGATATTGACAGAGGTTTATAGATTTAAATTAAAATTATAAATTATAATTTATTAAAAATAAATAATAACCATATACAAATTATAATCAATATAAATTATGCTATAGAGTTAATTTTAACTATTAATAATTATTTAAAATAATAATAAAATTTTAATTTAAATATAAAGATAAAGATAGTATATTATAAAAGATGGATGTGTCAGGAAGGAAAAATGGTACAAAATAGTTGAAAAAGATAAATTTTCATTAATTCTAAAAATAATGTATGAAATACATGTAGAGCTGTCAAAACGGGTAACTCGGCCCGGCCCGGCCCGGCCCAGCCCACCACAGGTTGAGCCTTTGGTAGGTCAACCTAACCCGGCTCATTTATTGGTGAGCTGAAAAAAGTTGAGCCTGGCCCGGCCCACCACGGGTTGGTGGGCTAAACGGGTTGGCTCACCTAATTTGAAAAAATGTAAATTATGTAACTCACAGCCAGCCCAACAGTTCCAAGGCCAAAAACAGTAACAATTGACCCCGTTTCTACCTTTGCAGTGTTCTAGACAGCTCCAAGACCTAAAAAGTTAATCAAAATAATAATTGAATTGGGCATAAACGAGATTATCGTCGGCGAACAACCGAGACGGTGCACATTCTGACAAGTTGTGTCTCTTCACCTTACTCGAGATGGGACATGCTTTTATTGCGAAGTCGGCGTTGCAGAGGCATGAATAAAGGTGGTGCCACGTGGCGGCTCTTGTTACGGGGTATTAAATGTTTTAGTATCCCACGCGCGTCGTGGCTTTTGGGCACACCCCCTCACGCGCGTCGTGACCCTTGGGTGTATCCTCTCACATGCGGCTCTTGGCCTCTATAAATAGGAATGACCCCTTATTTTTTTGAACCTTTTGCATTTCCCTCTTCACGCTCTTTTCTTCTCCGGCGGTGGTTTGCTGCTCCTCTTTAATTTACGGCGGCTCGCGGTGGTTTTGGGCTTGTTCTTAGTGGGTGAAGTTGTGAGAGAAATCTTTAGGTACGCATATATTTATTCCACCTTTCTAGTGGTTTTTCTTGCAAGCCTTTAAGTTATAGGTTAAACAAAGATTACATTTGCAATGGCTGTTGTGGGTTATGGGGAGATGTATAAATGGGTTAAAGATGATGCATTAAAGTGTGAGTCTATGATTAATTCTTGGGAAGCCATGGATACCTTTTGCAGAGACCATGTAGTCTATCGTGACGGGGATGAGGTAGTCGTGTGTGAACCTTGTGTCGATAAGGAACCAGTATGTATTAGTTCGCTCTCAACCGAAAAATTTACATTCTGCTATACCACTCTTATTTCCAAAATTAGGGTGAGATGGCCCTTAACCGACTGTGAAAAGGGGGTACTTCGAGTTTTGGGTGTCGCCCCGACCCAACTACATCCCAATAGTTGGGCCTTTGTGCGAGGGTTTGAGATATTGTGTGAGGGACTCGGAATAACGCCGACTACAGATAAATTTTTTTATTTTTTTGAGAGCAGGGTTAGTAAACGCACTAGTTGGGTATCCGTTAGTGGGGTTTCGGGTCGGGGCTTGTTGTCCTTATTTCAATCGTCCTACAAAGATTTCAAAAAATCCTTTTTCCGAGTGCGTAGTGTACCGGGTCACGAAGATGTGTTAGAAGGGTTCCCTTTGTACTGGAACCAGAAAACGATAGCATTCGGAGGGCTAAGTCCTGAGAAGCTTTCCGAGAACGACCTGGTCGACGTTAAGAAAATTGAAGATTTGAAAACCTTTTTCAATACGGGAAAACTCCTAGATCTAGAGAGTAGACCTCAGGAATTGAAAATTCATATAGGTATATTGTTGTTTTAGATTTAATAATTTCCTTCTTTTACTTGAAGTCTTTTTCTCATTTGACTTGTTCGTTGATTTCCTTTTGCAGCAAGAATGGCTAGCATGAGCAACCGGGAAATGATGAAACTCTGGAAACAGCAAAGGGTTTCCCAAGCTGTTGCAGTCGGCGAGTCGGCTTCCGAGAAGGTCGTGGAGGCCAGCAATCCGGTGGTCAAGTCGAGGACTATTGGTGAGACTCCTCAAAAGCGCCGTCGCGAGGCTGACAGGCCCATATCGGTGGTTAACCTGGAGACGATCGTGGCTGCTGAGGCGGGCAAGGGTGATGCCGAGGTTCAATCTGCCGAGAGGACCCTGAGCGATTGTCTCGGCGAGAATTGGGAACCGGTGAATTATGAAGACAACCGTGGTGTGGCTTCCTTGGGATGAAAAGTTCAACCACAGTGCTCACATTCGCGGGACTTGAAATTTTACTTGTTGATTTAGAAATGATTTGAGGTATAATTATTAAGATCAGTTTTATAATCTTTCTTAAAAATATTTGTTTATTAAAACATTTATTAATGTGAAACTTGATATATTAATTAAGAATTGAGCGTATTATTAGTGATGGAAGCAAAATAATACAAAAACATATATATTTTTTTCTCTAATCTTTTTGTGTTTTGTGCAATCATCTATTGTATTTGTGTGTTTGGTTATTTGAGATGGTAAAAATATTTTTAACATTATTCAACTTTTTTCTAAAGTTTATTTTTCCTAAAGTTTCTTAAAAATAAGAGATTGAATTTCTATTAAAAAATACTCTCGTCAAAAAATACTATTTAAAAACACTCTTTTTAAAGAATTTTTTTTTAAAATACTCCCGTTTAATATGATTATTTTATTTTATATATAAAAAGGATAAAGTACAAAAGATAAATAAAAAGAGTATTAACTAACATTCTTTTCTTAAAAACAAAAAACTATCATTGTTTTTTTTTAATATATTTTAATTTACGTAAAATAAATAACATTAATTAAAACAAAGACTAAAATTCATATAATTTTATAATTGAAAATACAATTAATTAGTAAAAAAAAAATATTTTAAACAAAGTATTAAAGAAATATGTTTTAAACCTTTTCATAGATTTGGGTGGAGGAAAAAAAATATTTTTATAAATCTTTTTGTTAAGTTTAATTTTTTAAAAATTAAGGAAAATGAAAGAGAACTAAAATCATCCTTATCCGATTCATGTTCTCCTCCAACATCACGAGATTTGGAGAAAAAATAAGATAATTTAAAACATATTTTATATTTCAAAATTTTAAATTAATTATATTAACATAGATTAATTTTTAATTATTAATTTTATCACATAAATTATTTTTATATTTTTTAAAATAAATTTACATTTCCCTTCAAAAAAAAATTTACATTTTCTTATAATGCTCTTTTAAATTAATAAAAATAATAAACTATTTTATGCATTCAAGAACCCTAAAAAAAAAAAAAGAATAATAAATCATAAGTGCAAACAAAAGTGTATTCTCACTCCTTAAATAATAAATACCAGAAAAAAGAATGAAAACTTGATACTCTGTCACTCCATTTAACCATGGAGACAAGAGTTTGTCATTTCTCATGAGATTTTTAGTGTTTCTTATACAAGTTGAGATCTTTCAGACGAGTCCAACAAGTGGGGTTAACGGGACAAGAGTGGCAAGAGAAGAGGGTTTGGGAGAAAATGAACACTGTACTTTCGCCTTCAGCGTCTCTTACGTTGTCCAAAACCTATGTTTCGTTTTGTCCCATAGTACTTTCCAAGTCCACACACACTCAACTTCCCCGCCAAAGGGGTTCTCAAAGCATTGGACTTCGCTGCAACTGTAGCATCTGGCCTGGTGGCCCTGCCTCTGGTACACTCTTCTTTCTTTCTCTCTCTTGTGCTTCTAGTAATGTCTTCTTCAATCATGAGAATAGGTTTTTATTTTGAAAAAAAAAAATAAGTTCTGGGGTTCATGGGTAGTTTGAAAGAATTTCATACTTACCGCTGTTTCGCCCCTTTTAATTCCAAATTTCTGAAAGGCTTTTAAGGTTGACATTAGATTCATGGGGACTAGGGAATTACGAGAATGTTCATTATTTTGGATGTGTTTGATTGTGTTTTTGTTTTTTGGTTTTTATGAAATAGTTTCCGAAATCTAATTTTTAGATAGTTAGAATGGGGGAAGAGGAATCACTAGGGTTGGACTAGGGTTGGCTTAGTGTTGGTGTTGATATATTATGAGTAAGGTTGTAAATTTAAATCCTGATGTCATCATTGTAATTTGAGATATTATACATAAGATCTTAAGTTTAAACTCCGATGCCGTCATTGTAATAACTAAAAATAGTTGGGAAAGAGGATGCAATAGTGTAGGACAAGATCAGAAAATCGCAAAACATCTTACAGATGTTATGGTTTTTTTATCATAAAAGTTGATTAAGTATTACTTTGAAACAGTTTTCGAAAAAAAATATATTAAACGAGTTATTTTTTTGCTTCTTTTTGTTATTAACGACAGAAACAATTTTCAAGAATAGGAAACAAACAGCCCTTAGTGTTTATGTTGGATTTGCTTTGCTCCCTTTCTAGTTGCAATACTTCACTTAGTGAATTGGGTAATGGTGATCCATTCTTAAGGATTACAAACCGATAAACAAGTAGTATGCAGGTAATAAATTAGTTCATTTAAATTTTCTGGTTTTTAGGTGTTTTGTTATATTTTCTTTTTCAAGTAATAAGTAACTGAATCATGCAGGTGATAGTGACAACAGCAACAAAAGTATCCTGGATGCATTTTTCTTGGGAAAAGCTGTAGCTGAAGCTCTAAATGAGCGCATTGAGTCCACAGTTGGTGAGTTTTTGAGCACCGTTGGAAGATTGCAAGCTGAACAACAAAAACAAGTACAGGACTTTCAGGTATGAAGCAGTTTACACAGGCGTTATCTTGTGCTGGATGTATAATATAATGCAGCATTCTACAATGATATTTTTATCTTGTGTTTCCTTCATGCGTGCAATAACAATACTTTTGCCTATTACTAGAAAAGCTATAATTTTCTTGGATTTTGTCTAGTAATATATTTCAGTGCTACATTTTGGATGCTCTGACAATTAATGTTAGATTGTAACTCGACTTTTAGATTATAGTTCTTCCCTTTTATTGGTACACACCAATGTTCAGTATTGTATTTCTAATTTGAAAGTTGAATATGATATCACAGTTAATGGTGGTTGTCAACTATCCAATTAAACATGTTTCAAATTCAATTTGTTAGAGATGATGTTTATTTTTGCTCCCTAGTTTACAATCAGTTTTTTACTTGGCCGGTTATCCAGATTAAATATCTTGGATAATTTTAAACAGAAAGACAGATTGTTGGGCTATAAAGTTAGAGTGAGCTGATGACTTGAATGTTTAATGATAGCAGAGGTATCTTTGGTCAAATATAAAGTACCTATAGGAGTTGAGAAAATAAGTTGGAAAGCATTGATCAAGATATATTGTGATTTAGAATAACTAGAATGCTGTCGTCTTCCTAGACTAAGAGAATGTGCAACAATGCTATATTCTCTAAAATTTAATACAGAAAGAAGACGGAATAACTTAATAAAGGAAGACAATGAAGGCTGTTATCCTTTCTTCAATTGTTAAACAATATTTAAGAAGGCAGACTTCTGTTAAAGAGAGGTCAATATCTAGTTAGAAAACATGTGTTGGGAGGGGTCATTGCAATAAATGTATCTCAATATCTCAAGAGATTAGTCTTTGGCTTTTGACAAAGAGATACACTAGTTCAGCCAAAAACAAAAAGTTATCTTAGAAAGTGGATCAGGAGCCTAACTCTTTGAAAGTGGGTTTGGGACCTCATTCAACCTTACAAAGCTGACTTGTCCCAATAAGCCCATCAACAATCGTCAAGATAGACTTTGATACCATTTTAGAAAGTGGATCAGGACTTAGGAGTCCAACTCAACCCTACAAAAGCAATTTGTAAGTTGAGCAATGTTTCCTACTTATGTACATTAATGTGGCCTTATCTCTAGTCAATGTAAGATCTTCAACTAGTTAGAAAAGAAATGATGAGACATAAATAATAGGAAGGAAAAAATATTCAATAGAGAGGAATCTTTGGTTTTAGAGTGCAAATTTGGAGGGAGAGTACAAATCTCTAGAATAAATGATGCGTAGAAAAGAGATACATTTATATTGTAGTTCTGTGATCTCTGGCCTTTTATCACATTGATACTGGTCAGAAGGCATTTTATTTGTTGTAATGAAGATTGGCTGTTTTCCACGATTCTGGATATATCTATTGGGGGAGTTTGTTTCCAGATTTCATAGTGCACTTCCGTGAATCACATTTTCTGGAATATTTAAACCAGAATGTTATTCATAGGTATATTTAAAAAATTGTTTGGTTACACTATAATATACCTATGAATATTTTTTAAAATTCAAAATAATTTAAATAAAAATAATTTAAAAAATCATTAGTGTGTTAAAAAATAACTTCCCTTATTCCCATAGAAGATAACCTTCCTACCTACGCATCAAGGGAATAAAAACTCTCTACAAAATGGGAATAAGGATACCTAGAAATCTTGTTCAATGACCTTCTAACAAACATGGGAATAAATATTCCCACTCTCGTATTTCCAGGAATAGAAGATGACTTGAAGTGAACACTCTGTCGGTATTTTTTCATGTCTGGTGTCTAATTGTCTATTCTGGTATAAAATAACCATGTATTACTATGCAAGTTTTCAAACAATGAAAATGGTGGTTGGATTTGTTAAATTGAAATTCTAGAGTTTAGGTGGTTTAATCATATTAGCTTTTTTTGTCACAAAAAAAAAATCATATTAGGTTAAAGGAATTTAAAGATATAGACTGGAGTAGATTTTTGCGAGGAACCAATGCCAAATGCTTCAAACATATTCTTATAAATTTTTACTGCTGATCAAGAACAAATTGCTGGTTGCGTGTCTGTAAATTATGAAAAATTAAACATTGTGTATTTCTATTAATCCATTTAAATTATTGATTACTCTTAAAAAAATAACCTAAAGTTAGGCACATTGATAAATTTTATAATTTGTAGTTGATCAATGCTTTTGCACCTCACTTTCTAGTTTCTACCATTTTCACTGTACATGTAGATTCCTGTCTTTTACCTGTTGGAAAATTCTCATGCAGGAAGAAGTGTTGGAAAGAGCCAAAAAAGCAAAGGAAAAAGCAGCGCGTGAAGCTATAGAGGCACAAGGACTCATTTCAAAGTCTGCAGTTGAGACAAAAGTTGAAGATTCAGCTAATTCCAAAACTTCAAATTTTGCAACAGATCCAGTCACTTCTGTTCAGTCTACTGATGCATCTGAAACAGAAACCAAACCTGCCAATGACGAGGACCCTACTATAAGTTCATCAAATGATGACTGATCCATCCATGTGTATTTGCTTCAACTTTTGACTGCTTAATACTGAATTTGCTTCATGCCTTGTGTTTCTCCAATCTAAATATATCATCATGTTCAATTTACATGTCATAACTTTTTCATAATTCCATCCTTTCTTGTGGATTTATTTTTTTTCAACTGATAAATAAATTTAAATTCTCAATTGGATTGTCCTTGTTTCATCCTTTCACGCAACACAATTCAATTGACTTTGGATGTTTTTGAGATATCATGAACACTGACCATGACTATATTAAAGACCAAGCAAGCTTCATAAAATTGGAAAATGAGCACGTCTTAAAGAATATTCTTCTAGCTAGTATAGTAGTAATATTTTAACCAAAAGTGTGATTAACTGCTTGTTAAGATGTCAGCCATAACTATTGATAGAGTAATAGAGCTTTTTGTTTCTTAGATGACTAAGGTATTTTTATGAAATTTGCAAAATTTATCAACGTTCCTCTTTTACCCTATATCTTTAACGTGACCTGCTTGATAAAACCTACTACATCAAAGCTTGAATATTTTGCGCCACAAACCAGAGCTATATATATATACCAAGTAAATATCTAAAGCCTGGAAACGAACGGTATCAATTTTATGAGCAATTTTATCATGCACTTAAAGAGTTACATCATATATAAAATAAAATAAAATAAAATAAAATAAAGTGAATTTGTAACGACCCTTCATGGTCTCTACACTTAGTAGAATCGCACTACTGCTAGTGAAACTAAGAGAAATATTAAGTTGGATAACTCATACATACATGTACAAATAAAAATAAAAATAACTAAGTTTCTGGATATAAAATAAAATTCCATATATGTACAGTCATCCCAAAAATAATATTCTCTAGTGTCGGTCAAGCACAAACAAAACCGTTACCCAAAATGGTAACTCTAACACGAGGATCAAAATTTCCCGTCTCGCAACGGACACCTCACCTCCAAGCTAGCCCTGACCTGCTCCCATACCAAGTATGATCATCGCAGTTCTACCACATGGAAATAGAAGGGTAAGCTAGAATTCAAAACCAATCATACAAGTACAGAATAAAATCTATATTACACATCATCTAACTATCAATCATGTTCATAGAGTCACACCATACACTCTATCCAACACTACTCATGCATAAAATACAATTCACTAGTCATGAAGTCAAACACCACACTTCATCATATTAATAATCATGCAATAAATGCATCTCATGACAGATATCAATGCATATCAATCATCTAATGCGTCGTCACACATACACCTAGGAGATCTCCTTAACAACAGAGTTGTATAAGTGACACTCCATCCTACCCAAACCACCCCAACCGTTTTCACGCCCAATGCGCCTGCTCGGTCACAGCTAAACAGGATATAATCCTCACTCGGGTTTACTTGGATGATGTCACTTACACAATTGGAAGTCCAGATCCACCATCAAGTATAGCACAACTGGGTACGGGCTTACCACGACCTTGGCATGCATAACCAAGTCAATTGTGGAGTTCGCCCACCGACTATCCGCAAGGATCCACGCAACCTTCCCGAGTACTTGGTTAAGGGAATAACCCTCGACCTCATACCCCGCTCCAACACTAGCTAAGGACTTAGAGGAGACTAACCCAACCCAGTGGCCTATCTGAGCACCACTCCCAAATCCAGTGGCCTACCTGAGCACCACTCTCATATATCAGTGGCCTATCCAAGCACCACTCTCAAGAGACTCTATGTGAGCTCTTCCAGTTCAAAAATATTTTTCCTCTCCTCAAGTCCTAGGCTAGACTCATGCCATAAGGCATCACATGCAATTATGCATCACACATCATACATGGTCTATCTACCATCATGAATCAACAATCATACACATGTCATAAGACATCACATGCAATAATGCATCATACATCATACATGGTCTACCCACCATTATGATCAATAAACATACTCATATGAACATATACACATGTCATATCATATTCAAATATTCATCCGTATCATCACAAAGCATACATATGAATCACACCGCACCATACATCATATATCATACATACATGATCTAAAACTTCAACTTTAAACATGCATAAGCATCAATTTAAATCAGATATTTATAAACATATTCACGCTCGGTGCAGTCATCTCGCGCCTAGCCTAACACCAACCCGAGAGCTCTAAGCTCTTCCACGCCCGGCGCGCTCAACCTGCGCCCGGCCTAAATCCCTGTCAAAGAGTTCAAAACTCTCATCCAAACTAACAAATTCAACCACATGCAAACACAAAACACAATGCATAGGCTCCATACGACTCAAAATAAACTTAAATCTCACATGCATCCAACCTATGCATCAAAATCATCAAAATCCTCCTTTTTTCTCAAAACCCCAAAAATGAGATTTTCTTCAATCCATCTATGAATTTTCTTCAACATTCTAGCATCAATTGAGTTTCTAAACTCACATGCAACCTAAACAACAAACATTCTAGCTTCCCTCATCTGAAGATTAGCTCAAAATAGCCAATAACTGAGAATAAGAAGAATTCTCTTCCGAAGCTCAACCCGGAACTTCAATCCTCCCAAAGCAAGCATCCTAATCTGAATTTCAAGAAAAGACAGAAGGCATTAGTGATCTAGAGGAGAAAAGGAATCATACAAAGAAATTTGGGAGAGAAAGGAGCTCACAGACCTAGAGTCCTTCTCTCTAAAACTTCTCTCTAAAAACTTCACTTTCTCCTCAACCACCAACCCCTATTTATAGAAGTTCAGGAGTGGCCAGAACGGCCTGTTCTGAATCCGTAATGGCCCGTTCTACACTCCCTCAACACGTAAAAAAATCTCATGCGGCCCGTTCTGAAATCAGAACGGCCCGTTCTGGAGCTCATCCAGAACGGACCGTTCTCAGCTACGTTTTATAGGTCAATTCAGTAGCTTGGAACGGCCCGTTCCAGTTTCGGAACGGCCCGTTCTGGGCTACTGAATCACCCATACTGGGCTTTTGGGCCTTCTGAAATAATTTGCTACGTTACAGAATTAGGAACTGAGAATTAGTCTTATCAAAATAGATTAAAATTCCAGAATGGATATCTATTTCCCAAAGTCATATTACATTTTAATCTTTTGGAACCTGTCCAAACAATGAGTCTCAACTAATCCTCAATCATTTTGATTTCCTAACGTAGATGCTAAAGCCTATAGGCGCATCAACTATAGTGCAATTGTTCCAGTCAGCTATTACTCTTCTGATTCGTAGAAAAGTAAACAAATCAACAACTTAACAAGAAAATATCAAAACTCTAAGCATACAAGTCAAAGTACACACAAAAACATGACAAATATGCATAACACATTGGTTGGGTCATATCACTAAATGTAATATCCTTTTCCAAAATGTTTTAACTCAATAATATTAAAATACAACAATTAAATAAAGTTTAACTCTAACTTGTGGTAAAAATGATTCACATCACTTATTTTATTTTACTAAATAAAAGACTTAAATAAAAGAAATATAAGTAAAAATAATAAATAAATAAATAAATAACTAGCATTACAGTGACCTTTATAAAAACATTTATAAATTAAATAAAATAATGATAAAAGTTGCAGTAAAACATGTTGTCAAATAAAACCCATAAGAAAATTATAATAAAAGCATATCTATCACCATAACACATTCTAATTAATCTCAACCTTAATGTCACAATTTATCATAGCGATTCAATAAGAATAGCTATAGAAGTCAAGCTTTGTCTCCCACAATCTCATTATACTCAACATGATCACGCTCACCTTCATAGCAATCAACCCAAACAACAAACAAGCAACAGGAAAAGAGGAGTAAAAATAAATCTCACACATGTTAAGGCACATACAAGAAAGTTAGGAAGTTAAAACACTTCACAAGTTACATGTCAAACAAAAACATACAAACAATTTAATACATTAGACACATGGACTTTTGTGCTCTAGTTTAAATATGCATGTGGTATCATTTTCAGGTCCCATAAAAGCATGTTTAACAATGACAATAAGCATAACAATAGGATGTTTTAACAAAAATCAAGTTCTTACATAAATAATCAACTAAATAGTATCAAATATGGAAAAGGATATCACACTAACAACTAAACTTATCACTGGTCCAATAATAACAATAAGCATAACAAGAGAATGTTTCAACAAAAATCAAGTTCTTACATAAATAGTCAACTAAATAGTATCAAATATGGAAAAGGATATCACACTAACAACTAAACCTATCATTGGTCCAATAAGAACATCTAATGAAAACATTACAAAATAAGCTAACATCTTGTCCTGAACATAACTGAACAACATCAATAATTCCTAATTATGTCCTAGTGTTACATCCTATCAGAGCACACCCGTACAAGGTCTAGGCCTCATCACCAGCACCATAAACATCAAGATAAATCTCACCTATAATAATATACATACCAAAGGTAACATGAAAAATGAGGAGTGAGAACATCTCACTCTAGCTCACAACGTAAAATAATGTTAGATAACTAATCACATAATAACAAAATATCATCATCAAGTATATATATATATATATATATATATAGGGAACATATCAAGTGAGAGGGAATTTATTATGAGAGATGAGAGGGTTAAAATATAACCATTAGATTAATTTCCTCTCACTTGATTAAACTCCAAATTTTCTCTCACTTGATTAATCTAAGGGTTATATTTTAACCCTCTCATCTCTCATAATAAATTCTCTCTCACTTGATATGCTTCCTATATATATATATATATATTTGACTGATGTCACATACATATGCACATTAAAGTTTGTGTCCATTGCATTACATGTGTGAACATGTATTATGTGATGAGTGATGTTATGAATTTGTGGTTGATTTAATTGTATTATGTTGTTATTAATTAAACTATCTCTCTCTCTCTCTAAATATATATATATATATATATATATATATAGGAGAGAGAGAGAGAGAGCGCAAGAGAGAGACACACACATATATGTCATGTCAAAAGATGATCTTAGACCCTCAGACTTTAAGTTTTAATGATAAAAAACACAAACATTTTATAAGAGAAATTTTTTTCAAATCAAGCCTTAAAAGGAATAGAGATACAATGATC